TTGTACATCTATAACTACCTCAAGCAAGGCAAAATGGAAATTCCATTTAAGGACTGTAATTTCCCTTTCATTAATAAAATCTAAATTCTAAAGTAATAAAGTGACAACAAATTATTTTAAGGAGTGAAAACAAATTACAGTGCACACTAGTATACAACTATAGTACATATAATATAGCTGTTGTTATATAGAGTGTATATAACATTAAAAAGTGTCCATGTATTGCTTACAATGGCTTCATTATTTTATAGCTACAGTTCACATATTTAAAAACAGAAGAGGCAGCTGTTGCTCGGACAGTGAAATCAAGTTAGAGAAGGGGATTTGCAATACATTAACGTTTTTAAAAGTCTTTGTGCCAGAAAAAAAAAAAGTATATAATCAAGCATCTTCTCTCAAAATTAATCTTAATAGACCTTAAAAGCAACAGTTTTTGTCTTTGTGCTGTGTTCTTGCACTGTAAGTGAACTTTTGTACTGCAAATATGGCCATTTAAAAATCATAAATGTGTGTTTTTTCTTGTTTTTTAAGTTGCACGTCACTGTTACATGACTTTAATAAGATGCCTTTTTTGATGGCTCCGAGTCTGGGTCTTGAAGACACTTGAAAGATTCATTTTATCAGCATCATAAAGAAGTTTTTTCAAAGGCATTTGTGAGGGATCATTGCCACTTTGCTAGGGTTAAGCCTTTCTCCCTTGCGTTCCATCCACAGCTCCACATTACTTTCCTGTTGTGTGACCTTGGCAGGTCCCATGACGTCATCCTCCTATGTCCTGAGCGAGCGCTACGCTGTAGGAGACAGTAACTGTTAGGGTAAGACTTCTTGTAAAAAGAATTTGTTAAGGAAGGCCTTCTTTGAAAGGGACCAGAGATGGTGAAATGATTTGCAAGTAAACCACATCTCTTCTCCAATAGCCTTGTTCCTTCTGCACATGCACCTCTGGCCCAGGGGCGTGGGAGGTCTGCAGGCAGAAGCTGTGCTTTCTCCTGTCTTCTCGGGTACACAGCAAGGGAGGGAGCCCCTCGAGCACCATCACTTTCAGGTTCCAGGCAGCAACTGTTGGTTCAGAGGCAACTTCAGAGAGGTTTGTCTACCAGGGGTTTATCCTTCGGGGTCTCTGAATAAACCTAACTCACACTGTGCAGGATGGCAACTCCACCCCAGCTAGCACCCCCTCTCCTCAGAGCCCCACCCTCCCACAGGACTTGGAGCCTCAGTTGCATTATAAGGTGGGGCTCACTCATTCAGTAGGTATCCAAGGCTCCAGACCCTGAACCCCTGTACTCTCCTCCCATTCAGTGTAGACAGGCCGGTGCAGTCCCCCTGCAGCGATGTCTGTCTTTCACAAAAAACAGACACGTTCTGAAGGGTGGTGCCCTCCGCCATGTGACTACTAGCTGGAGAGCCAGGATGTCAGGTCAAGTGTTCCAGCACTGTAACCAGTGGGTATTTAGGAAGAATGAATTAAGGCAAGCAGCCAGTTTCTAGAATAAGTGCACTAACTCACAGCAAATTCAGCATGGAGGGTGATTTGATGCTGAGACATCAGTGTCAAAGCCCAAGGGGTCTTATCTACCCAAAGGATGGGAGCTTGTTGCAGAGTTGACTGTAGGAGTGTGATCAGCTGCTATGGCCTTAGAGGGACAGGCTGAGGATTAGTGCAGACAAAGACTAAGCCAAGATTACTATACCCAGTACCTCAATCACACATATTCTAACCACAAGAGCACTGGTATATGTGTGTCAAGGTAATCCATGCTTCTAGCCTTTGACTAGTGAATTTAAAAAAACTTAAAATGTAGCATAAAGGATTTCTTCTAGGAAAGCTTTAAAATCAAGCAGCTGTGTGCTAGAATTGTGCTTTTGCCCTTGACTGCTGGTTTATTATTGAATTTGAACAAAAGCGCATTCTGAGCTCTTGCTTTATTTTCTGATAGAGACGTGGCAATACAGTCCTACTCGTATTGTTGTCAATGAGGTTCTCAGCACCTGAGACAGAGTGATCGTCCCCAAATTGGTCCACACATTGGAATCACCTAAGGACCTTCAAAAGACACAGATACCTGAGACCCTGACCCACTCCCATCCCCCAGAGAGTGTTGCTACAACACAACCCAGGGCTTGGAAATTTTTAACAGATTCCCAAATGCTTCTAAAACTCAGATACATTTGGGAACCCCTGGTCTACAGCTTTCCTTACTGAGCTTTAAGTATCTGCTGAATGAATGAACATAGTGCCTGTCACATACCAGACTTTCCACTGTGGCTCGGGTTCCTTCCTGGACATTTCTTTTGCCCTGCTTCCCCCCCGCCTTGTGGTACCAGGGATTGAACTTGGGCCTTTGTGTTTGCAAGGCTGGCAGCAGAACCGCTGAGCCAAATCCCTGGCCCTCTTTTGCTCTGCTTTTTACTGGGATGCCTGAAGACCTCGTGTCAGGCTGGGACTCCAGTCGGTGGGACTGCAGTGTGTGGCCAGGTCATATGTGAAAGCAAAATCGAGAAAGCCCTTGGGACGTGTGCTGTAGTAGCCCACAGAAGGAGGTGAGGATAAAAGGCAAAACAAGTCCTCTGCAGGGGCGGCCATGAGATCCAGTTAGGGAATGTCTAGTCAGTTTGATTTTGTGACCCACCCCTGAAGGCTAACTGAAAAGTAACCTTGGAAACCAGAGCCCAGCATTATGTTCTTTCAGGGCAATGCAGGAATGAGCCAGGACACACAAAAGGCCAAGACTAAGGCAAGGCAGCTTTTCAGCAGGTCCTGAGTGACTTTTTTTTTTTTTCCGCTTTTATTTTCAACATTTGTTGCAGTAAATCCCTTGTCTGTTGTCCTGGGTCAGCCATCTGAAGGTATCAAAGTTCCAAAAAGTTGAACACGTGGCATATTCCTTTCTATGTCCCTTCGTGGCTCTTGGAGAAAGGTTCTGAATTCTGCGAGCAAAGGAACCATGCAAATCTTCCTAAGATTCAGAAGCCGGATTGTCTCCCCTTTCCATTGGGCAGCTTCCGTGTGCCAGGTGCTAGGGGAGGGCTCTATCCCTGCGGCAACGATATGAATTATTACGTGCTCAGGAGTACAAGTAATACTTGTTGGTTCTCAGGGTCTGTATCTGAGGATTCGAATATCGCTTGGTACACAAAGCTTGTATAATATGCTCTTCATGTTACAGAGCAGACTCTAGTTGCACCTCGGTGACACGACAGAAAACGTTTCAGATACAGGGAGAAAATTAGTCTGGCTCAAGAACTGTGAAATCCTTTCCCACTTGACCCTGGAATCTTGATGGAGTCAGGCTGCTCCTTCCTTAGAAACCCAAAGCCGTTTCACATTCTATCTTCAGAAGATGAGACTTCCAGCCTGCTGAGATTTTTTAAGGCGCACGTTTTTGAGTAAGACAAGAATTGTTTTATTTTCAGGATAATTCTACATTGAATAAGAATTGTATAAGTACCTCGAGAATTACTTGTTTTTTAAAACTGTGGATTAAAATGCTGATTTTTTCTCTTAGGATCACTTTTATTTAATATGGACTGCAGGCACTTGAGGTAGGTGGGGGGAAGGTTTATGGATCTGTGCATTACAGACAGTGCAGAACGGTACTTTTGCCAGATGTGCACTGAGTCAATTAGGACACTGCTCAAAGTTGCTTAGACTTAATGGTTTCCAGGAGAGTAAGTTCATATGCACAGCTGTGTGCATATCCCAGTGTATACTCTTCACTTGGTTTCCTGAGCTTTGTTTGCATTCTGTTTTTCTTTTGCCTTTTCTACAAATGGTATTAACTGCTGGTGTTCTGCTAGTCTTTAACAATTCTGTAATGAAGGGCAGATAATTGTGCTCCCTGCTGATATTTTCAATCTTATATCTTTTCAATTTTTGTACTTCTTCATCAATAAGATCTGTCTTAATAAGAAGTTTGTGACTGAATAGCACCTAACATATTATTACCCTGGTCTGAATCCATAGGTTCCTCCTCTGCAAGTTGTCTTTGTAACTCTGCTATCTTCTGTTCATGTATCATTTTTCTGTCAGACACAGTGGCCATTAAGTTAAATCGAATTTCACCTTCACTGTACTTTTGTATCCTTTTTTCTATGACTGGCCTTACTGCACTAATCCAGTCATCTTGATTGCATGCCCCTAAATCAATTGGCCCTTCTCCTAATCCATCCAATTCATACAGCCTTCCATTAACAGGAACATAACTGACAAAGTGAAAAGCATCTTCTTCTTTGACTGATGCCTTTACATCAAATCCAAACATTTGCTGTCTGGCAAAACTGGTGTGCCCTTGTCGAATCACATCCGAACTGCTCAATGCCAAACCGTTCATAGCTGCATCAAAACTTTGTGAAAACTCTCTAAACTCTGGCAGTGTCTCTCCTAAATGGATATCTCGATGGGTACAGTTCAATAGCACACTGACAATGGCTTGAATAGCACAAGCATTATTACCTGCTTCGCAAAAAATACTGTGTCAAGTCTGGGGTCCTGAACCACAGAGCCTGCTGGTTGCCACTTGAAAAATTAACCCACAAACTGGCTTTAATTTTTCAAAATTCTCAGGCTCTAAACTCCATATTTCTTCTACTTGGGCACCTTGGCAACCTGCAGTGCACCAGAGCTCAGGAAGGTGCTCTAGCCACCCAGGAGACATCGAAAGCCATCTGCTGATTTTGATACTTTTAATCCTGAGCTGCTTATGAAAATAAGGGGATAATGAGTTTATAAATGTTTTACACTAATGGAGTATTTTACCTTTTGTATTTGGCATTTAAAGTACATAAGCCTGAACAACATACCCATCAATCTCACTTTTTAAAGTTTCCTAACTTTTAAAAAATTGAACTGACTTATAAATCTTTATCATAGTAATCCAGGTTCTCTGCACCGAGGTACAGGTTTGCCCTGAGGGGTCTCCTGCGGAGTCCTGAACCCCAGGCCCTCAGGGCCATAGATGGCGTGACACAGGTACGATCCTGTCCTCTGTCTCCTGCAGGGTCCTGTAGCATCAGCATTTTCTGTCCTCTCTGGGCCTGGCCTCTCACCACCCCCTCCTCCGCCACCTCCTCCGGGCCCGCCTCCACTTTTTGAGGACGAAGGCAGAAAAGAAGAGTCCTCTCCTTCTCGCTCAGCTTTATTTGCCCAGCTTAACCAGGGAGAAGCCATCACAAAAGGTGAGTGCACTAGACCTTGAAGCTATCTCCCCGACCCTCTGGCCCCAGGCACGTGATCCCCCAGGGCTCCAGCTGTGGGTGCACTGTTGCATCCTCTTCCCTCACACGCCAGGGAAGGGAGCTGTAGCTGGAAACACGGTCCAGATAGGCTCAGTATGCTGCCTCACGGAATGGACGTGAATGTCAGAGGGCCTGGGTTCTTCTCAGACACTACACTGCGTCACCATTTTAGCACCTGATTCGTCAGCAGCACCCTCTAAAACCAAAGTATCGAGAACACGCGAAATAAGGCAGGCATGGTGCTGCACACCTGCAACCCCAGCACTCTGGGAGGCAAGGTAGGAGGATTGCAAGTTTGACCTCAGCCTGGCTCTTTTGAGAACAACCTGTACAAGGTCCTTTGAAAACATCCTTTTTAAATTTTTTTATTTTGAGACAGGGTCTTGCTAAGTGGCCGAGTTGACCAGGCTGCACTTAAACTTGCAGTCTTTCTGCTTCGGCCTCCTAGAGTGCTGGGATTATAAGCCTGCTCCCCTGTGCCTGCCTCCATTTTACTTTTAACAAAAAATGAAAAGGTTGAGAATGTATCTCAGTGAGAAGGTCCTGTGTCAAATCTCCCTATACAAAGGAGAAACAAAGATCAATTGAAGTAAAAATGGCAAACCCTAGCACCTCTGTCCTGAAGCAGTATGTTAGGTTGTTGAAGAATCATGGCTTTGAACTGCCTGGTCCTTATGGTGAATGGTTCATTTAAACTCTTTGAAAAATATCTAAACAGCCATGTCTCCAGAAACTATATACAAAGGTATTTTTGCATTACACAGAGGACGTAGGGCATGCGTGTCCTTCTGCACTGGGCTGGGAGCTAAGAATACAGAATTTGAACTTTATCATTGGCTCGGACTTCTGCTGCCCTGCCTGAAATTCATTTGCAAAGTAAAGGAATAGACTGATCCTTTAACCCTAAAGTCAGTTCCTTCTGGTAACAGTCCCCGAAAAGCCCTAAATGTTTAAGCTGTGGTTAATGATTTAACCAACAGAGAAGAATAAACCATAAGATCTTTTTTGCTAAGGTGATTTGAAGGGTTTGTGGGATTGTTTTCTACAGGATTGTTATCTTCCTATCTTCTTAAATACAAGGTTCCTCAAGTTAAAAATCTGCCCATCTAAATCTGTATGGGGTTCAGACTCTGCACCTTCACCCTGAGCACTAAAGTGTCACGCAGAGGGCGTGGCCACTTCCTGTGTGCCTTCCACCGTGGACGGTTCGCTTTGCTTAAAAATGTAAGAAACGTGTCCTCGTGTGTGACCCCCACAGGCCTGCGGCATGTCACAGATGAGCAGAAGACCTATAAGAACCCCAGCCTTCGAGCACAAGGGCAAACTCGATCTCCAACCAAAAGCCACACACAGAGCCCCACGTCTCCCAAGTCTCACTCTCCACAGAAACACGCTCCCGTGCTGGAGTTGGAAGGGAAGAAGTGGAGAGTGGTGAGTGGAACCCTTTCACATTTACTCTTCTTCATTTTTCCTGGTAACATCGATTGAACTTAGGGCCTTCACACTGTGCTGTATCCCCAGCCCTTTTCATTGTTTTATTTCCAGATGGTCTCACCAAGTCAGCTCAGGCTGTGCTTTAACTTGTGATCCTCCTGCCTCAGCCTCCCGGAGTGCTGGGATTACAGACATGTGCCACCATGCCTGGACATTACCCTTTATTCTTGATGTCTTTTGACAAATGGACCAACAGCTGAAAGCATTTACCAGGGCCTTAAGGATTTCTAAGTGACATAACAAGAGGCAGAAAGCACTAGCTAGACTAGAAGCTAGGGAATTTCTAGATGAATCCATAATTTTTTCTTCAATGTTTCTCATTCTTTTCTTCAACTTTTTAAAGCTGCTTTTTTAGATTGTGATAAAATACACATAATATAAAATGCACCATAAGCCATTTTAAGTATACGTTTCGGTGTCATCGACACTAAGTTCACTTACGTTGCTGTGCTGCCGTAGGCACCATCCACCCACAGAGCACTTTTCATCGTGCGGTACCAAAACTGCACCAGTCGCTCCCCATTTCCTTCCCCACCCCCTAGAAAGCACCGTTCTGCTTCCTCTCTCTAAGAAACTGAGTATTTGCCTCCATAATCTTTACCCAAGAGGCAGAAAGCATTAGCGTGTGGACCCGGGAGTCTGCGCCCCACCTAATGTGCCGAAGGATGATTTGCTCAGTTGATGGAGGTCCTGACACACCACCCCTGCCACCCATCTCCGTCAGGGCCCATTCGAGCAGAGCAAGACATTTTGAATGTGGATGCAAGCTGACATCCCCAGTCAACCCCGAGGGCTTCTCTAAAGGTTTTGAAGCAATGTCCCTGGAAAGGCTGTCACAGCCTGAGAAGACTCTAGGGCTTGGACTACTGCTGTGAGCCTTGACCAGCCTATTTTCCGGTCTCCCGTTTGACGACTTAGCATCAGTGTCCCGACACCCCTACTCCAACACCACCCATCAGCCAGGGCTCTGACAATACCTGACAGTTTGCAAATTGACACTGATCCGATTCCAAGCCGCGTCTCGTCCATTCTGTGATCACGGTGACAAGACCTGGGGTCTGTCTGTAAGGAGACGGATGGTTCTAAAAGAAATTAGAGCTGTAATCATGCTGAGCTCCGTAGCTATTTCAGAATGCAATGGATTCTGTTTACTAGCTAACCTTGTATTTAATATTTGTATCTCTTTTAATTTTAGGAGTATCAAGAGGGCAGGAATGACCTTGTAATTTCAGAGACTGAACTGAAACAAGTGGCTTACATTTTCAAATGCGACCAGTCTACCCTCCAGATAAAAGGGAAAATAAATTCTATTACAATAGGTAGGATACACGCATGGCTGCGTAGTCACCATGATGAGTTGTTTTGTATAAACATGCAGAAGTATTTAGTGGCGATTTATTTCCCCTCTCCAGATAACTGTAAGAAGCTTGGCCTTGTGTTTGACAATGTGGTGGGCATTGTGGAAGTGATCAACTCCAGGGACATTCAGATTCAGGTAAGTCCCGAGCCAGCCGTGCTCTGCGCTGGTAAAGGCTGTGCATAGATGGTCCGCTCTGCGGGCAGAGAGGAGTCCTCTGTTCTCCTGGTCGTGTTCTTTCCTAGCACGGCTGTTATTGCCTCCTCTGTGAAGTAGCCCTGTCTTCCTTAGCAGTATTCGTTCTTCTTTTTCCCTCTCTTACAACAAATTCCACCTCCATTTCAAGGGCAGCTAACAAACATTTGTCACCCCAAAGACTTGCACAGGACGTGCACACAGTAGGCATATAATAAGTGTTTAGTGAGTATATGATTGACTGAATACACTGCTGCATACATAAAATACCAAGAGATTATGCTGGTATAATGCCATCATCCCAAAGAGAATATGTCCTCCCTGGAAAAGTTTGTCCTAAGGAGTAGTAAGAAAACAATCTTCCGTAGGATCAGTGTGATAATCAGAAAAACAACCTAGAAGTAGGATTAGAACTGGATTTGCTAAGACAGAAAAAAATCTGTATTCCTTTAGAAATTTTGATTTAGTCAAATGAGATTTTATCATACATCAAAATCTGAAGGTCTTCTTGCTTTCAGCCAGCTGTAACTTCTATCTTTGATTACCTCTTTTTATAATGTTAACTATCCTTTACTATTTAATATGTCATAATAATGTCTGTTAAAATTAGATTTTCTTGGGCCAGGGATTTAGCTCAGTCGTTCTACCTCCTGCCTTGCAAGCTCAAGCACCCCAGTTCAATGCCTGGTACCAAAAAAAAAAAAAAAAAAAAATTTTCTTTTTATAAATCTTTCTCTTTTGATTTATTGGGCTTTTCACCTCTGAATATTTTTTTTTTGTTGTTTTGTTTTTTTCC